TGGGACCTAAATATAAGATTCATGATAGATTAAAGGACAACGATAGGGAAAGAGCAGAAAAGTTCCGATCGCCTAATGTTTGTATCGCCACAGATCAACTCGGCGGACAAAGTAAATGCAGTTGCAACAGACATTTCACGTTGAATGTACCCGATTTGAGGAACACCGAAGTGTCGACTAGTCTATAAAAATATATAAAATACGTACAACGAATGTTTCGTCTAGTCGAATTATTTATTATGGATATGATATTTTAAAACAATACCAGAGAGAATAACTCTGTATAAAAGAAGAAATACGCGTAAGCTACAGATTAAAATCATTGGAACATAATATTATGGAAGAACGACAATATGGAAAAACGAAGAAGGAAAAGGCGAGAAAAAATTACATTTACATATGTGCTATAGGTTTCTAATTGAAGATAAGTCATAAGTAAATAGAAATGTATCATTTGGAGAGGATAAAGGGACAGCCAATTCCCAAAATGGTCACCGACGCTTTTGGACACGGATTTGTAGACGCGTTGCTGACCTTTAAGAGAACGTAGCTTTGATGAGTCAAACCGTTAAATGAAGAGAAAAAACTGTAGAATCTAAGTAAGAAAGTGTAAAGAGTAGAATAGAAACTGAAGAAGTAAATCCTAGAAAGAATAAAGTTTATAAAATAGTTATATCATTATTTCATGATAAACAATCCCATTCCATCAAACTTTAATGTTTGTAGCATTTTACAATCATTTATTCAAAAGTAATAATTACTTTTCGACAGTGCGTGTGGTTTCATTAAACGTGAATAAAATTTTACGGTGCATTAAATTGAACCAAATCATGTTACAAACGGGTTTGTATTTTACTTGCTAAAAGTAATTTTATTCGATTAATGATTCAAGTAATACTAATGTTAGCTTATAATTATTGCTAATATTGTACGTATGAAACAAAATATTACTATAATATTAAGGCTCAATTATTTAATTGTAATTAACGTAATTATGAGTCCAAATATGAAAGAATTATTGGTATCACGCGTAAAAATTTTAGAAGAGCAAAATAATAAACACGTATAAAAACCGTATGTTCAATATACAAAAGAATGAAATATTTTAATCGACTTGACTTTTAAAGAATCACGTGAATTAAAATGTATTTAAATTAAAGCATAACAGTAGATGCAAAGAAACATGTTTTCTTTAAAAATATTATTTTTCTACATTAGCATGCATGTAGCTAATATTACAACAAACAATTTATTTGCTGAAAATAAAAATAGAGAGATATTTAAATTCCTTTCGATAAATTTATTTTTATTGCTTGTAAATTAATAAATAAAAGTGTTAAGTTAACCTTATAAATAAATACAGTTAAGTGATCGCTTGATTCATTTTTTCCGAGTTACGTAAACTTGATAGCAAAAGAAGTTGAATCGATTACAAAAAACAAACTCCTCAGGAGCCAGATGAGTAATAGCACAAGTTTGAACATAAATCTTAGAGAAATATAAAAAAGTGTCGGAATGAAGAGATCGCTTTATTCGATAGAAACATATACGAGCGTACAATCGTCGAGAAAATTTATTACTTTTAATACGTAACACTTTTGTTAACAACTGAAAAAAATCTTTATAAATCTTATATAATATTTTATATCGAATTTTTGTTGCAATATAGTAACTTCAACTTCACTACTGCTATTCATTAAATAGTAAGTTAAATTATTTAATGTTTTATTGTTATATACATATTGATTCTTTAAAATTTATAGTATTAGACTTACGTAGCGGCCCGAAGTGGGCCTTGGTCTTCGATGGTAAAAATCTCCACTTTGGTCTCGACCCATTCCTTGACTTGGAGATCCCTAAGATCTTTCTCTACCTCTATCTAGAGATTCGAAGGACGGCCAAGTGTTCATCGATCAGTCGTCCGACACGCACATTTAACACTTCGAACATCATCCATTGTTTAAATGGCCGAGCCAGCGGAGTTATGTTGTATTATATCCAATGATTTTAGAATCTGCCATCAGCTTCTCAATTTCTGGTTTCTTTCCAATTTGCGGCATACTAATCTCTCTTTGCATTTTAAGTGTTACTTAACAAAGTATCATTATTATAAACCAGTACATTGAATTAATTGTTAACAGAGTTTCTATAAAATAAAATTACTTTAAAGAAAAACATTAAGTAGATTACCTATTTTAAATCTAAACTTTTAAAACTATTTATAATTTTAACTTTAAAAATGAAATAAAAGCAAGTTATGATGAAATAAATGTCGCACATTGCGGTACACGTTGGTTTTATGAGTAAGAAAAGCAAAGAAAAACTCAACGTTGCCAGACTTAATAACGGTACGGTGCAGGTAAAATGTAATAACCGGTGTATAAGAAAATCTTAAGAGGGGCTGCGGAGAGTTACGGCCTCATTTGTCGTTGTCATGTGACCTAACCTATCTTATTGCACCGGGAGCCCGCCTCGATAATGTTCCACAAACATGATATTCCAACATAAAATCTAATGAAGTAACATAACATTTAATGAAATATTTTTTTTAACTCGATACACGAAATAAATACATAGGTCACTTTTATATTATACTAGCGGACCCGACAGACGTTGTCCTGTCTACACGTCTTTAATTTGAATAAATGAATATGAAGTTAATATTTGATGAAAATTGTGAATCTAAACCATTCCCAGATCCCCTTGAACACACACAAAAAATTTCATCAAAATCGGTCCAGTCGTTTGAGAGAAGTTCAGTGATATACACACTCACAGAAGAATTATATATATAAAGATTAACTGTTGTAAACTAAAAAAATGTTAAGCTGAGTATGTAATCTTATATTACCAACATTATGAATATTAGCTTGTTTCTATCTATAACCCTTTTCCGATGCCTACTATAGTAATATTAGTGTTGCCAAAGTTATGTCCCTTTCAGCATGTATTGCAATGAATAATTCGAACAAACTTTCACGGACCAACTTGATACGAATGGGCGGTTGGAACATGACTTTGTGTGGTACAATATACAAGTTTAAATTTAATATTTTTTTATATATTACAGACAAATAAGTGAAGAAAAAATAGTTAAAATAAAAAGTCCATATCTTATGTACTAATAATTAATAGGAAGTTATTTAAATGCTTCAATGTGAATAATTTCATTAAAGTTTAACTTTGAAATTAACATCAAAAACTAGAAATGAAATTTACCAGCAAATTGTTGGCCTAAACCAGTAAAATTTCGAAAGAAGTCTATTTGAGAAAAAAATGTAAATCTCTGCTCTTAATTATACAGCCGTTATAAATACTAATAGAACTTAAATTAAAAGATGTTTATTATACGACTAGTTGTATTGTTTTTTTTATATCGCTATCTTCTTGTATCTTGTACCACAAGATAAATTTATAGCATTTTACGGGATTGCTGTAATCCGAGCTATTCGGTTATTCGTGTGCACACATTCGTGGTTCGTTAACTTTGTTTCACGACTGTATCGTACTTAGGCCGTAATTTGAATTCGAAAAAAACATAGTCCGTAGGGAAATAGAACGAAAGCAATAGTTACCAACTTTTCAAGATTATTTTTGTATAGATTTTTGTATTTCACGTACTTAATACATCTTTAACATTTGAATTGGAGGAAATTATATATTTTTACTGCAATGGTCGAATTTAATTTTCTTTAGATGGACATACAAGTTCTGCCAAAAAATTCGTGGTAATACTTCAAAAATTAACTAATTGTGTCTAAACAAAAATAATTTGTTATAACATTTATTTTCAAATTAATTGATTTTCTTTAAATATATTTTAATTGTGTTTAAATGGTCGGAAAGGCGGAAAGAGAATCCGCAATAAAACTTTTAAATTGACAACAAGAAATCTTCCAACGTCTTCGTACCTGAGCACTTAGTTTGTCAACTTTTAATGGACTTAAAAAATAAAACTAAACGTTTTAATAAACTCTTGCGAGAACAAACAAAAAATAAAAATAAACACTTTAGACATCAGTATTACCGTTGGTTTCTGAGGCCAAAATCTCTGTATAAAACATATCGTGATCTCTTCAATATCTTTGAAACGGGAGTTATGGTCTTAGAAATCCACGGACAGTATTGTTAAACAACTAGTGGCTTTTTTTAGCAAACGTAGTTTCAAATAAAGGTTCCATATTTATACTAAATATATTAAGCTTTCTCGACCCTTACGCTTTATGCAACGTTTTTATTTTTGTTTTATAAGCCGCAGTAGGCTCAGGGGTCAAGCATTTGAATTGCAATCTGCAGGTCCTGAGTTCAAATCCCGCCATGTACCAATGTGTTTTTCGATTTTCGACTATTTCGATATGTATGTACATTTAATTGACGTTCTTACGGTGAAGGAAAACATCGTGATGCAACCTGCACATATCTGAGAAGAAATTCAAAGATATGTGTGAAGTCAACTAACCCGCACTTGGCCAGCGTGGTTGAATATGGCCTAATCACCCTTAAGTTAGGGTAGGCTCCGAGCCCCTCGGTGCGGACGTATAGTGAGCTGATGATGATGACGATGATGAACCGCAGTAATCTCTGTCACCAAAACACTATTAAAGTTTTGCGATACATTACTCTGTGATGTGTGAAATATTTTCAGGGGTTCGCGGAATGATTTAGTTATGTGCCATTTATCAAAGGTAACTGTCATACACAACCCACTCCACGGAACTACGGACTCAGTTACAAATTTCATTTCTGCGAAACGGAAAATAATAGAATGGCTCAAATTGTCGACGCCATATTATATATCATTTCCGCGTTTTCATTGTGCGTAGAAACCAATACTTGATTAGAATACTTGATTATATATTCGTAATAAGATCCAAATGGTAGTGGAAATCATATAAGTTCACGTTTAATTAAATACTAGCTGTCGCCCCCGACTCCGTCTGCGTTCTTCCAGGCAATGTTCTATATGTATGCGAAATTTCATCAAGATCCACATACCCGTTATGGAGGTACCTTCAAACATCCATCCATCCATCTAAACACTCACATTTATAATATTAGTAAGAAGTAAGATTGTAACAATGTAACAAACGTAACCGCATCTTTTTTTTTTTAATAAATGCTCGAGTAGTCTACGAATTACTTAATTACCTTGTACATGAAAACTGATATTGTCATCTAAGTAATAGAAGCATATAGTAAACAATATATTATTGTTAAGCGCATCTACTTGGACAAAATGAAAGCCACGTTGCACCGGAAATCAGGAATTTCAACATCATATCCGGTGTACACCGGCGACTTCCGGCGACACGAGCCTCTCACTTCCGCTGCAGCTCGTAATGGATTCTCGAGGTGAGTGAAAACGTATAGTATATATTCTACCTCACATACTCGTACATTTTGTTATGTCTAAACACTTTTTTTTAAATAAAAAAAGTGTCTCCAACCAATAAATATTTTATTGGTAGTAATTTATCAAATAAAAAGGTTCAATAACTTTCAGACTTAATTCGACTTGGACTGGTACAAATTGTGTTAACGCCGTGAGATCACAAGAATGATCCAGATTTCATTTAGATAATTGAATGAGGATCTATTCTCTCAGAGAAAAGGTTCAGCGGCTACGTAGTTGGGGCTATTAAGTTAAAATTGGTTTCTTGGATCAAATTTTAATAATTTTCGGTAGAAAGCTACGAATTTACACTGAGTAATTTATTGATATTGATTAAATTAAAAACCATATCTATAGTGATGTAATCCTAAGTATAGATGGTCACTATGGATGGATATAAATTTATACATAACATATGTATACATAGAGTATCAATACATTATTTACTACAAAATCACACAATGAACAATAACTTTTCAGTCAATTTTTTTTTCTTATAACCTTCTTTAGTATCAAAATATTACAAATTAACGTAAAACTTTTAGTATATTCTGATGTATGGCGAAGCACCAGATTAATAGCTTAGGATCGACATAGATTGAGCCTTGATACGATTGGCAGTTGTCCAAATAATATCCAAATTCTACACAAGTGTGGACAAACAAATTATACACATAACGCTTCAGTGGGCGCATGGTGGGATCAAAAAACTGAACTGATATCCTTTGTCGTAGTATCAAATCTATGTTGAGGCCTGTTTAAATTCTGTTCGCTCTACTGATGGAAGGTAATGTTTTGGGTTTTTGTTCATCGAACGCACTTTTCGAAGCCACACATAACGAAACGCTGACTACAGCTTGATCCCTCCCGTGAAGGTGTGATTAATTCCGCACGTTTACCTGATCAGGTCCGACAGTTAACCCCCGTTACGAATTTGCTAACAAGAAGACCCTTTTTTCAGGCGCTTCTGCTGATAAACCCGAGGCCTGATTAATGAGATCTTTGTCTTCGATATACTCATAACAATGAGTTTTGACTGCAGTAAACTGGTATTAAAATCTGTTGTCATCATTTGAAAAGACCTGAGATAAAAAAAAAATTTTACTACCCCGTCTATAAAGAAATTTAATTTCAAAAATCTGTATTGTTTATTATTATGCTGTAGAAACAAATTTTTGTATTAAATAATCCAATATTTTAATTGTCATAAACCATTTCTACTTGAACTGTGTGTATTTTATACGTGATGATACACTACTGGATGCATTTAGTTTAATATACAGGGTGTCCCAAAAGGTTACGTACATAGGAAGGGGGATGACAGGGGTGGTCACAAGGATCACCAGAAAAATAAAATAAAAATTCCCCTCTGGGTTAAAAAAAATAAAGGGCATTTTTTAAAAACTTAAAAATTTTACACCTTCTGGGGCAATTTTGTAACCAATGACCTACAAATATTGCTACATTTAAAAAAAAGCTATTATGTTATCGTCAATAACCCTTTATCAATATGAAATAAAAATAGCAATACAACTAACAAAGATTTTAAAGAAAATTAAAATTGGCCCAGAAGGTGTAAAATTTTTAAGTTTTAAAAATATGCCTTTTTTTAATACCCAGAGGGGATTTTTTTTTTTATTTTTCTGGTCACCCTTGTAACCACCCCTAGCATCCCCCTTTCTATGTACGTAACCTTTTGGGACACACTGTATACTATTATTGCAAGGATATAAAGACGTTGAGATTATGTCCTATACAGTTAGAATACTACTTCTTATTGTAGTTAATTTTAGGGTATTAATTATAAATCTGGGACTGGCATTAGCCGTGTCGCAGAATCGCCGAGCGCCAAGTGCCAAGCCGCACATCTGAGCAGTTTGTTCCGCATTGTTCTCAGCAGTTCGGATCTAATTAACTAGCAGTCAATAGCAGGACGCCTTCAGACGTGGCCCAGCCGAGCGCAGGCAATTACTCGCCAATTAATTTTGCAATAAACAAGCGAACAGGCTATGGGTATCGTGGTTAGTGATAGACGTATGTGGGACAAACCTCTTGATGTGGAAACCGCTTGTATGTTTGTGATTTAACTTTTCTATTTAGTATTTTTTTATCATTAAAATCTAAATTTGTTCAAAGTCTTGCAGTTCATGCATTTTTTATTTCTCACTTTGTCGTAGTTATAACAGTCTTCAGTCTGATATGGTCATTTGCAGGAACAAAGCGTCCCACAATGATTAGTCCTTTGCTGCTATCATCCTGTACACTCGCGCAACCTTGACCAGATGTTAATTCTATATTTAAAACTACAACAGGGACTGATCACCTTTCGCTATATCTTTTTAAAATCATTTTAAATGTGTACGAATTATAAAATTTTCTAAAAAACGATGTTATGAAAAATTTTGAACTTTAAATGTGATTCCGTAACTCGCCACCTCAACGGAGAGCAACGAGTAGAAAGGAGTATAAATTTTTTATAAGTTCCCACTGCGCACTTAAGAGATTGTATACAGCAAAGTGAAGTGCCAAAAGCTTAACACTAAAGTTTTAAGTGTACTGAGAAATGCATACTTACATATACCTTTTGGTGACTTGCAAGGAATTTTAAGATGGGTTTGGAAATACAAGAAAAGTTTCACGTATGGGTAACTTAATTAATTTAAGTTTTTTTTTATATTATAAAGTGGCAAACGAGCGAGCGGCCACCTGATATCGAGAAATAGCGAAGTGACCGTTGCTCATAGACATACGCAATTGCATATGCGTTGCCTTCCTTTAATTGACGGAGGAGAGGATGCACAGAAAGAATATGTCTTACCTTCCCATGCATCCTCTCATCCGGAAAGTCCACTTCCACTTCCCATACTGTCCTTAAGAAAAAGTGTGGGAAGGGAAAGAGGACTATAGGCCTCCGGGACGAAACGCGGAATTGCTTCTACTTGACTCCTGTCTTCTGTGTGGTCGTGGTATTTCACCGGGCGAGCCGGGCCAATTCGTGCAAAGATGTTAAAGCGGGCTCTACCACTGTTAAATTATATGTTACAAACACGACTAGGCGGGCTCGCCCGTTGTAATACCAGGACCACACAGAAGACAGGAGTCAAGTGGAAGCAATTCCGCGTTTTATCTGACCAGTGTAGTGCCGACGTGGCAGAGTTATAATGTTAGTTATCTCTACCTTCCCACCTTTTTCATATAAGTAAGAGATAGGAATGCTATGTAGGCAGAGGAGGGGACGAATAGGGAGGGTAAATTTACTCTTTTAATGCATCCCATCTTTGACGGTTATAAAGACCAAACGCATCTGCAAACTGAGCAACACTCACTTAACTATTACAATTTCAAGGGGCTCGTTTGCCATATTTTGCTATGAAAAATTCTAGCTTTATCTATATATTAATTTTACAGTTATAATCACTTATGTAGATTCTTTTAACGAAAACAATACGACAACGGACGACCTATTTCTGTCTAAGGGATTTTATTTATTTATTTTCTACGATAAAGAATAAAATACACGTTTTATAAACAAAAGTCCTGACTCGTCCGGGTAATCGACATTTGATAAGGGTAACCCGTCACCTGTGTTGGGGTTACATTAAAATCTCTTACAGTCAGTAGCATTTTGATATATTGTATTTTTAAACAAAGGACTGAGAAATGAAAAAAATATTTGCACACCGTACATATGTATATGAATTGTTATACTCTGATTTATATTACTTCATCACCATTGTTAGTGGCCCTTGTAATATATATTACAACAGATAAAGTATTCTACTAACGTCATTACTTTTTGAACTAAATGTTAACAAAAGTGAAAGAACTAAAATAAAACAAAACTACTCTACCACTATTCATCAGCTCACTATACGTTCCCACTGAGGGGTTCGGAGACTACCCTAAGTTAAGGGTGACTAGAACATAGTCAACCACGCTGGCCCAGTGCGGGTTGGTTGACTTCATGTAAGAACGTAATAAATGTACAGATGTAAATCGGAAATCAAACACATTGGTACATGACGGGATTCGAACCCATGACCTGTAGATTGCAAGTCAAGTCCTTAACCCTTCCGATGCTCAACAATGACTATACAATTATTTGCCACAAATGTGTCTTGATTTCGCTACTACTCTGTATTTTACAAACTATTATAGATTAAATTAAATTAAAGATGTTAGTCCAGTTAGGTGACTGTTTCTTTTTTTCTAGGACATGAAAATATTCTGTTTGGAACATGTTCAGGGAAATATCGTGTTAGTTTATTATTTAACACGCCTATAGCGCAACAAATGTTTAGGAAAATTACATATACTCGATGCCTTGCTCATTTTCCAGTCCAATAGAAACTGATGGAAAAGGCGTAGTAGTGAAATTAATTTTCTTGATACATTTATCTAACTGCCATATATTCAGAGGCAAATAGTAACTTAAGTAGTCGCTTAGTTAGATTTCTTTTACTAAATTTACATTAAGTGTCTCCCTTAAAATCGTGACAGTAAGAAATGGAATGGAGCTAATGATAAAAATTGTGTATTTGACAACATTCTAGAAAAATTCGTAAAAACGATATTGCGATGTTAAACGCCTTGGATTATCACTTATCGTAAAGTGATAATTCAAGTTGTTTTTAACTAATTTAAAATATTACAACATATAGTACCTGTGTTTTGCATCTATTTGGTTTACATACTTTGGACACTACGGAGAAGAAGACAAATCAAGCTGTAGTCCCTCACAATTGCACTTACATGCATAAAAACAAACCTACATCCGCGCATCAAAAATTACCCTCTCATTAGACTGCTATTCAGTTGGATAGCAACCAACTTATATATAGGTGCCAAAAAGATTACCCACTTGTAATTCAGCTAATAAAATATTATATTATGTACATTAATTTACCGGCTCAGTAAATACATTTAATTTAAGTGACTTCGACAACATAAAGCTTTCATCTTTGTTATTTATTTGTAAAGTATACCATTAAAAATATTATAAAACTACTTAAATAAAATCTAAAAACAAAAATAAAAGATAAAAGGGGCTTAAACGCAAATCTGTTAAAATATGCGCCCCTCATAATAAATTAGGTTTCGCAAGAAAACCGTTTTAATGGAGCACGTAAATAGAACAAAAACTAAAGCTTTGCCCTGTAAATGTAATTATTAAATGAAACGGCAAACTCTTTGTGCTAGAAGAGAACATTTTATTAAGTTAAGGTTGGGTAATAAAGTAAAAACGAAAGTGTATACAAAGAAAGAATGTCGTTCTCAATCTAGACATGGATTATTTTTTTATGGGCTTTTTTTCTAAATTTAATATTATAAAGGAATATTTATGTTTTATGTTTTAAGTCTGTACGTTTTTATTGTGGGATAATTTCAACTGATTAAAAAAAAACTTAATACCGATCGTGGATAGTGCGCTTTCGATTTCGCTTTTAACAATGGTAGAGCCCGCTTTAATTGGCCACACAGAAAACAGGCGTACAGTGGAAGAAATTCCAAATCCATTAAAAAAAATTGTCATACATGATGGTCTATTTTTTAATATACTTATTTCTCAATAACTTTAAAACAAAAAAATAGATATTAAATATTATCGTATAAATAATTTCTAAATCGATAAACAAATAATGGATGGAGGAACTTTTCCAATCCCTGTATCGAGCAAGCAACGCTTCCAGCACTTAGTGGATTGCTTATGTCCGACATATTGATTTACATCGCGGGTAAAGGATTGCTATTACCATCTGATACCCATTTGTTCTTTTGAAAATATATATTTAGTTATACAACACATTAATAATTATTGTTTTACAATTAACTTAGACGACATCATTATTGGTTTGGATTAAAATAAGAAACCCGTCTCGTGTAAAATTTCTCTTCATTTTTTTATTTTTCTATCATAAGGTTACAAACGAGCCAGCGGCGACCTGAAATCATTGAAATAGCGAAGCGATCGTTGCCCATAGACACACGATTGTGGATACGTTGCCTACATTTAATCTACGAAAGAGGAGATGCGCGGAAACTGATGCTCTAATCCAGAAAAACCACGTCCACTTGTGGTGAGAAAACACGGTGTTAAATGAAATAGGACTAAAATTAGGCCTCCGAAATACACAAGTTTTTTTTTTTATTTCCACTCGGACAATCCTTAAGATACTTAGTAAGATATGTTTCACCGATTCCAATTATAGTATCGTATCTAACACTTATTTGTCCAACCACTTGTATAGTTCAAACAAGCTACTTGTATTAGGGAAACTAAAAGTACTCTTCAAACTCTTACTTGTCATAGACGGTGAGAACACTTACATTCCTAGTTTGCCTAATAGAAAATAAGAGGGACCTTGTACAAAGGCCACCAATCAAAAACAGTAATTTACATTTCTGGAAATAGACAAATACTGATTGGTTAGAATAATTTTATTCAGCAATATTATAGTTAACATTAAAAAAGCATGTACAGTCGGACCGGAATAATCGAGAGTCCTATTTTTCTCGCTTATGGAGATCATCCGTAGGGACTGACGATGTGTCATTTATACAGGTTTCGCGCTTATCAAGGTTTGACTGTATTGCTGTCGTTTAAATTTTTTGATATTATATATTAAGGTATTGTTAGTCTTTATTTTAAAAAACCTTTCACATCATTATACTGTTAGGAAGAAAATCCGAAAATGTGCCAGTGTATTGACGCAACACTAGCCTTACTAAAATGTCGAAGTTTATGTCCCTCACTATTAATTCTGACACCGGACTTTGTAATGAAAGCATGTCATTCTCGAAAAAGGATTCGTATTAATAAAAATACACAAATTCATTGATTTTTTTTCTTTATTTCTTTCTTTCTAAGATCGTTAATAACTTTTTTTAATATCTTTATAATAATTTAAATTAGCAGATGGTTCGTTCATTACAAGCATGTAGTGAAATGGGCGGTGAAGTTATAGGGGTGTCTACGAAGAGCACATCTGCACACTAAAACTATAATGAAGACTAAAGTTAAACCGTATTAGACAGCCCGTGGAACAATAGAGCCTCCGGTATATCAAGTAAGTTGGATACTTAGTGCAACTAACTTAAAGTCTTTAGTATTATATCTTGGAAAGTGGACATGAGCAAAGATAAGATATAAAATATAAGTACCTAAATTATTAATAACATTTTTAATTAAAAATGGAAACGTCTCTTTCAAATAAAGAAAATTCTCCTTTCTTGTATGTGTATACAATAACAAATACAAACTCGTTATTGTATTTTTCTTCATTCATCTGTAATTTAGCATCATCATGCAATTGTAATTGGAGCGTCAGTGGCTCAGTGGTCAAGCACTTGACTTGCAATCTGCAGGTCCTGGGTTCGAATCCCGCTATGAACCAATGTGTTTTTCAATTTCCGATTTACATATGTACATTTATCCAAAGTTCTTCAAAGAAGAGAAGAAATTCAAAGATATGTGTGAAGTCAACCAACCCGCACTCGGCCAGCGTGGTTGACTATGGTCTAATCACCCTTAACTTAGGGTAGGCGCCAAGCCCCTCGGTGGGTACGTATAGTGAGCTGATGATGATGATGATCTGTAATTAGTCTAGACTTGCTGATGTTAATATTTTAAGGACTTCTTAAAAATATCCGCTTTATAAAAAAAATTAAAAAGCTTTGTTTCAATATTCCTTAACTTCAACTAAAATACACAATATAAAATATTTATTATCCTGCCCACGCTAAGTATTCATGGCAATTAAATGCGATTTACATTCGCCGACAGATGGCGTCTTATTTAAAGTTAACCAATAGCGTCATTTTAATTAAGCTTCCTGTTAACTTTACTATCGTATGCAACGGTTAATTAAATTTTATTTATAGGATATGTTACTAATGAAAATGTATTAGACAATATGATTAATGATGTAAATATAATATGAACTTGTGTTCAGAGAGATCGAATTTTCTTTCCTCAGACTTTATTTGAAAGATAATGAAATAAATAAATAAATGAAAGATAGATAAAGTTTTTTTTTAGTATTTCTAATAATCCAGTAGTAAAATATAAACTTTTCAACAAGCTCTGACTCTACTTTCTGTAGCCGAATACGTTATTAATTACTAATTTACAAACTTCCTTATAGCAGGTTTCTGAACTCACGGTAGTCGAGAAGAGCTTTTCATTTACTATTAGTTCTATAATACACTTGTTGTTTATGAAACTATTAACTTTTTAATCAAGTTAAAATTGAAACTATTTGATAGTCTCTTCTAATTGATGATGTTAGGAAAATATTTTGTAAATTAATTTGTGTACCGAGTGAGTAGTTAAACCGTTGCGGTTCGATGTTTTTGCAACATTTAAATAAACAGGAATAATAAATTTAAATAGATTTATTTTCAATAACATGAGATCATTTATAACTGATAAAAGTTTTTATCGGTAACGTTTTGGGGTTCCTGGTGTAAATTCTTAAAGCTATCAAGATATTACTAATCATTTGGTTCATACCTAAGTTCTCACCTATGCAATAATCAGAATCACGATATAAGTAAATATCAAACAGTTTATTGTGTGGTCCGTCTTCCTAAATTAAAACCAAAAGTATGTAAAATTAAGGTATTGCATATTAATAGTAAAAAAAATTGGGTCAAATTATAACTTTAATTCGTTCTTCTATTTGTTAAGTAAACTAATTGTAAGAAACTAATATCTACCTAAACGGTATTCAAAAAAATAAAGTGGACGTATACAGTAGATATATTAGAAAATATTGTACTGAACATCTATTCGAAATAATTTTATGACGTATTATCTTCATAAAATGATAACAATTTTAAAACGATATCAACCACAGTCACAATTTATTTCCGAGCGAAGTGACCGTGCTGTGATCTTTTTTTGTTTTTCTCGTCAGTAAAATGTCGTCTTCGTTGTATGAGGCGGAGTATGCCAAAAGTGATAAGTCAGAATGTAAGATATGTAAACGAAAAATTGATAAAGGTTCTGTGCGCTTCGCTATCAATTTACAATCTGCATTTTGTGACAAGATGCAATCTCATTGGCACCACGAGGAATGTTTTTTCAAGAAAATATTTCTTCATAATATTAGTGAAATAGGAAAGTTTAATTTACTCTTATACACGGATCAAGAGAGAATAAAAACTAAAATTAAAAAAGTACCTTATGCAGCTTTACCTATATCTGATGAAAATAGAACTTCTAAGAGAGGTTTGGGTTCTAGCAATTCAGATATTTTATCAACGTTTTCTATAGAATATGCTAAAACTAGTAGTGCGACTTGTAGATATTGTGATATTAAAATTATTAAAAATGAAATAAGAATATCCAAATCTAAGTATGACCCTAGATATGGTGATTGCCTTATGTGGTATCATGTGAAGTGTTTCGTCGACAAACGAGAAGACCTTATGTTTTTCGCCTCAGGTAAAGATATACCAGGTTTTGAAAATCTAAAATTAGAGGATCAAACAATGCTAAATGAAAAAATTACAGGAGTAGATGATGATTTTATTGCAAAAAAATTAAAAACATGTTCAAACAATGGTGATGACGCTGAGGTTAGTGAAGAATTACAACATAAATTAACAGAACAAAGTAAAGCATTTGATGCCTATAGAAACGATTTGAAAGATTTAACTAAAAATGAAATACACGCATTATTAAAAGAAAATAATTTAGATTTACCTTCGACTCGGGAAGAATGCATAGATCGTTTGGCTGATTGCATGGCTTTTGGGGTACCACAAAAATGTCCCGAATGTAACCAAGGTCAAGTAATACTCGACAATTTTTATTATAGATGTACCGGTGATGTAACTGCTTGGACACAATGCTATTACACCACTAAAGAACCTGAAAAAGATATTTTTAAAGTACCAGAGTCCTTAAAGAATCACAAAATATTTAAAAATTACAAAAGCAATATTATTCAACGTATCTTCAGGGATATGCCATTAACAACGGTCATCGATTTGGACACATCTGCCTCTGCAAATCCTCAAACAGAAATATCTTATCCATTGAAGAATATTCAATTCTTTTTATATGGTAAACTTAAAACTCCTAAAGAAGATCTCAAGCTTAATATATTGAAATTAGGAGGACTTGTAGTAAGCAAACTTACAGATACAACTGCGGCTGTAGTTACTACCAAAGAAGAATTAGATAAACATTCTGCTATGATACAAACAATTCAAAACAAAGATATAGAAGTAATTGATGAATCTTATTTTGACCTCATTAATGCTGAAAATGGTACAGTAATAGACTCTCTAAGACTTATTAAGGAAAAAAATATAGCTAGTTGGGGATCTGATCTGTTTAAAAGAATACCAAAAAATGTGTTGGATGGTAAAGTTGAACCTAAATCAGGAAACATGTATAAAAATTCAAAACATGTAGAAACAAAATCGGTGATAAAAGATGGCCATCCAATTGACCTGAAATCCGGTCTTCAAAACATTGCACATGTTTACAAGGATAGCGAAAAAGCTTTTTCAGAGGTTTTGAGTAAATTCAGCGTGGAAAATAACCAAAATTCATATTATAAGTTACAATTATTAGAAGCTGATGACGAAAACAAGTATTGGGTTTATCGTTCTTGGGGAAGAACAGGCACAACAATAGGTGGTTATCAGAGTGACCCCTTTACATCCATAGATGCTGCTAAAGAACATTTCCTAAAAATTTATACTGAAAAAACAGGTGATGACTGGATTTCAGAAGAATTCAGCAAAAAGGCCAGAGCTTATGTTCCGATTGATATAAGTTATGGAGATATTAAACAATCGACAATTCAATTTGATTCTGAAGTTAATTTGCCAAAATCAGTTCAGTCTTTAATTACAAAAATATTTGATACTGAAATTATGAACAAAACACTTCTAGAATTTAAACTTGACCTTGATTTAATGCCTCTTGGAAAGTTGTCAAAATCTCAGATCAAATTAGGGTACAGTGTACTAGCAGATTTACTTCAAGCATTTGATAATAATCTTGTTGATGAAAAGAAGATCAAAGATGCTTCAAACAGATTTTATACTTTAATACCTCATAGCTTTGGAACTGATGGTATAAAACTTTTAGATTCGCCAGATTACATCAAACAAAAAATTGAATTATTAGATAGTCTGCTGGATATTGAAATTGCATATAAATTGTTGCAATCACCTTCTGATGGTTCTCTCAGTCCTATAGAATCTCATTATCTTAAATTAAAAGCAGACATTAGACCATTAGATAAAACGAGTCCCGAATTTGAACTTATTTCTACTTACATGAAAAATACGCACGCTCCGACACATTTGAATTACACACTTGAAATTGAGGAACTTTTTGAAGTTATCCGTGAGGGTGAAGCAGAACGCTATGAAAAATCTAAACAATTACATAACAAACGTTTACTTTGGCATGGGTCAAGAATAACAAACGTAGTAGGTATTCTTTCTCAGGGTTTGCGTATAGCACCCCCTGAAGCTCCTGTGACGGGATACATGTTTGGCAAAGGTATATATTTTGCAGACATGTCTTCAAAATCCGCTAACTATTGTTTTGCAAATAAAACGAATACTACAGGATTTGTTCTACTATGCGAAGTAGCTCTTGGCGAAATGAAGAAATGTTACGCTGCCCAAAATATTAAAAAACTGGCTGAGGGTACACATTCTGTGTGGGGCGTTGGTCGAACGCAACCAGATCCTTCACAAAACAAGGTGTTGAATGACGGTGTTATTGTACCACTTGGTACCCATGTTTCAACCCAAGCTCCCAGTTCCTTGCTTTACAATGAATTTATTGTTTATAACGTAAACCAAGTAAATGTCAAATACTTAGTACAGTTAAAATTTAATTTCAAATAAAATTATATTGTAATTTTTTCTTTATTACTAAACGGAACAAAATTATGTATGTTAAAAGAAATTAAATATTGTTATCCACAACACTGATTTTATTTATATTCTTCTCCACATAAAAACACCGTAATGGTAAATGCGCACAAACCCAAAATTTTAGACGCTTAGAACGAATTTATTAATCAGTGTCTTGTTTTCCTCAAATTATTCTAACATTTTTTTAGATGAAACTTACAGAAATGGTATGTGACTTTAGACCATAAAATATCCTTATTTTGTTTCCCTTGATAGATAAAAGAGGATAAACTGAATTTATTTGAACTTATTAACATTCAGAAAAATCACCAAATATAATTAAATACATTTTTTACAAATACGAGAGAATAAAATCAGTTGGTAACATCATTTTGATACAACTTTATCATACCTAATCGGACACTTACGATTATCTACACTTTACCGACGCAGCCTTATCGATTGTATTTATCTATATTATTTTATCAAATTCAATTGCAGTTGACTAAAGAAAGTAAAAGGATTGTTCACTTTATTTATAGCATTGTTAGTTTAATTTATAACATTTCTTATTTAAGTTAATTATCTCATTTTTATTCAAATAAACAAAAAACAGTGAAAGTACTTTAAAATGGCAAACTTACCTTTCAAAGTGGAATATGCAAAAACAGGAAACGCCAACTGTAAAGTGTGCAAAGAAAAGATTGATAAAGGAATATTAAGGTTTGGTATATCATTGCGTTCAAAATTTTACGACGGTCATCAAACACATTGGCATCATGAGGAGTGTTTCTTTGAGAAAATAATACCAAAAAGCATTTTTGATTTTGAAAGGTTTAACGTACTGCAATACAGTGATATTAAAAGACTGAATGCAAAAATCAAATCCATATTATCTATAATAAAAAACAATCAAGATAAAGAGCAACTTGTACAGTCAAAACCTAACAAATTACCTATACCATCATTTTCAATTGAATATTCAAAAACGGGTAGTTCCACATGTCGTAATTGTGACCAAAAAATTCATAAAGATGAGATAAGAATTTCTAAATCTCAATATGATCCACGATTTGGAGACAGCCTTTTGTGGTTCCACGTTAACTGTTTTATTATAAAACGAGAAGATTTGTTATTCGAAAGAAACATTAATGAAATACCTGGCTTTTTAATTATCAACGAAAATGACCAAGTTCTGATAAATAAACAGATCGAGACATTAACAAACTGTGTAAGTACACAAATAGATGATTCCGATCATTATTTAGAGATGATTGAAGGAGAATCAAGATTATTTGACCACTACCGAAAAGCACTAAGCGTTTTGAATGACAATGAACTCAAGAAACTAATCGATGCAAATTCTTTATTTTTATCCAAAAGTCGAGAAGAACGGATAGATATACTTGCTGATTGCATGACTTGTGGTGTTCCAGAAATATGTCCAGAATGCAAACAAGGTCAAATTGTATTAGATACTTTTTATTACAAGTGCATTGGTGATACAAGCGCTTGGACACAATGCACCTACAGGACAGAAACACCTAAAAGAAACCCTATGAAAATACCGTCTACTTTGGAATATATTCAGGTTTTCAAAGATTATCAACACCCAGGTCTGCAGCGTCACTTTTATAAATTATTTTCAAAAACCTTAGCAGACTCGGAATCAAATTCATCTCAGCGAATTCCACGAGATATAAAAGACGGAAGCAACGTTTCTGAACCGGAAAGAACAAAATTAATAATAAAGCATGGTATGGATGTGGATCTCAATTCGGGGTTAGGAAATATTGCACACATTTATAAAGAACAAAGTAATTATTATTCTGTTGTTTTAAGTAAAACAAATGTGGATGATAATAAAAATTCTTTTTATAAACTACAACTGCTAGAGTCTGATAATAAAGAAAACTATTGGATATTTCGGTCTTGGGGAAGAACTGGTACGTCGATAGGAGGCAAAAAACTTGAAAATTTCACTGATTCCTGTGAAGCAAAAAAACATTTTGAAAAAATTTACGTACAAAAAACTAAATATCGAGAACTTTCAGGTCATCACTTCATTAAAATACCGAGAGCTTATGTGCCTGTTGATATAAACTACGATGATATTTCAATGTCAAAGATAAATATTGAAAGTGATTGTAATCTACCTATAGCGGTACAGGAGATGATTGTAAAAATATTTAATACGAAAATTATAGAAAATTGTTTGTTGCAATATGATCTTGATATTAAAAGGATGCCTCTTGGGAAAATATCTAAAGAACAAATCATATTCGGATATGAAATACTATCAAGTCTTCTAGAAGACTTTAATAAGGGTGTTATTAATATAAACAAAATCAAAGATTCCACAAATAAACTATATACGATAGTACCCCATAACTTCGGATTGAAATGCCCTCCATTACTAGATAATGTAGATTTAATAAAAATGAAATTAGAAATGTTAGATAGTCTACTAGAAGTGGAAATAGTTTATGATTTATTAAAATCCGCGTCTGATGATATTGTAAGTCCCATTGAATCACTATACCTCTCACTTAATGCAGATATTACACCAGTAGACAATACCTCTACAGATTACGATATTGTAAGGAAATATCTGAAGAATACACAATATTCCCTTGATTATACTATTGACATTGACGAGCTTTTTAAAGTTACGCGCGCTGGAGAAGAAGACCGCTACAACAAATATAAAGAACTTCATAACAAACGTTTGCTTTGGCATGGATCGAGAATTACAAATATTGCTGGGATTCTATCACAAGGGCTTCGTATAGCGCCACCAGAAGCACCAGCAACGGGCTACTTGTTTGGCAAAGGAATTTATTTTGCCGATATGATTTCTAAATCTGCTCATTACTGTTTTGTAAATAAAAACAATCCTAACGGTTTTGCTCTTTTGTGTGAGGTAGCACTTGGTAACTCAGAGAAATGTTACAAAGCACAAAATGTCACACTGACTGATGACATCCACTCAGTATGGGGTGTTGGCCGCATTCAACCGAACCCAACAGAAGATGTTACATTAAAAAATGGTATTGTAGTACCGCTTGGAACGCCAAACAACAGTGGTTCTCAGAGTAATCTTATATACAATGAATATATTGTTTATGACGTGGCTCAAGTAAATATAAAATATTTAGTACAGCTTAAATTTAATTTTAAATAAATACACGGATTATGATGTCAGACTCATGTACACAGTCGGTTTACTTTTGAGATTTTATTATATTTGATTTTCCTATACGCCTATGTTAGGTTTAATAATTATTTTTTATCAATAAATGCAATCCAATAATTGTTTTTTTTTAAATAATAAATCATTTTGAACAAGAATGTTGAGATTTTAATTCACATTTTCAAATTTAATAATTACCACATATATTTCTGTTTGAATGTTATTTAGACTAGATATAGAAATTAATAAAGATGACGTAGAGTTGTTATAAATTAATGTATCCCACTCTATCATTCTTGAGGAGCTGGTTATAATTGCTTGACAAGGACGTTGTAAGAATCTAATATCAGCACTTTGTATTGAGTTCTGATAAAGTATCAATATATTAATCCCTTCTAATTGTAATCTAAATCAATGTATCATAATATAGTTACTATTATATTTTCTTTTTATACTTATAAGATATAATAATAAAGTTACATATATTAGATTTGTAAAACACCGCTATTGATTTAGTTTCAGCCAGTAAATCTCTGAATTTAGTTATTCGTGGATAGTAATTTTTTTCATTTTTGAAATTAAATAAATTCACACCGAACAAAAGCCGAGTCCGTCAAAACATTGGTATCACAGGAACGCAGGCAGCGTTCGGTGTTTAAAAATATTTTTTCCGTCCATTTCATTTTCAGTGGATGCTGAATAAAAAGAACAATCTGCAAATTTAATCAAAACAACAATAGGGATTGCCCGCACAATTCCTGGCGGGCATACTTATTCTTGTCTTGAATTGTTTTGCGATCCCATACTGTGGTATAAATCTACTTGATTTTTCGATTCTAGATCACGTCATCATAGTTTTAAAGTATTTTCTAACACAACACAAACAGCTTTTCTTTTTTTTTATCAAGTTAAAAATATTTCACTGTCAATTTTTTGACAAACAGAAATTGTTATTGCATTTCATTTCACGTTATTTTTTTATTTAATTTCATTTCTGTTAGAACAAACAATAGTACATGGATTTTTTTATATTGAGGTAGCTTATCCACAAGTAAGTTGGGAAAAGGAAACGAAAATATCCAATGGATTAATTCAAGTAAAAAGTAAAATTATCCTCTCCTCCTCATGTTACATCCTGTTTGGTCGAATCCGCCTTTATACGAATGTTTTATATGTTTTTATTTGTTACTTGGTATTATTTCATGGCTAGCAAAAGGAAAAAAATCGATGACTTCTAAAAATTCACTCGCTTTATTTCAAAACGCTGTCTACTAACAAGGTACAGAGAGGGTAATCAAATTCCAATTTAACGCGCAGTGTCCTGTCAGACACGCTTTTGTTTTTTGCTTTATCTTAGTCTAGCTTTGAGAATAATAAATGCATCTGCCTTTATGGGAAATTACAAAGAAATGTAAAACAATAACTTACCTGTTTCTAAAAAATATTAATAAGTAACACGGAAAAATAGACAAAGGATCAAGGTAAGAGATAGTATACATATAACAAAAATTGGCTAACCACTTCTATTGTAGGCAGCAACGTGCCGAATATGAGATACGTCGTATTATTGGCTATAAAAGAAATATTTATCCGACGATTATTTGCTTGGTGTTCTGAACTATATGAATAGCACGGATTGCGAAGGCGAAATACATCGAAACCATTTAAAAAGTTATGGATAATTTAATAAAGATAATAAATGATTAATGTTGAAAATAAAACTGACAAATTACTTGAAATCTCGGACTCATTCTAATTTGGCTATGAGTTACGTACGATATTTTATTCATGTTCCATTAGTTCCATGTCGATGTTGTAAGGTTCTTTTTAATCATTAACAACAAATAGTCAATCGAAATGTCGCGTAACGGTCCAGCGCCCGGGCAACCGTCAGCGTCCCTGAAGTGTTGCGCTCGTCGCTTGCGGCATACTTTCCTCATCTGAAACTGATCAACTATAAAAGACACCTGAAGTACTCCAAACAACACAGAACAACAGCAACCAAAATGAAGTGCATTGTAGCCATCGGGCTCCTCTGCCTTGTGGCAGTGTACGCCAGAGAACTTGGCGAGGAGGAGAAGGACCTCGTGGCCGCAGCGAGTGGCAAGGCGAGCCACCACGAGGAGGGTGGTGGCCACGAGCATCATGCTCATCATCACCACGACCACGGCAGCAAGGGCCACAAAGGTCACAAGGGACACCACCACCATCACAAGGGAGAACACGGCGACCACGGAAAGCACCACCACGAGGGACACCATCACGAACATGGCGGTGGCCACAAGAAGCATTGGGATGAGCATGATCATCATGGCCACCATCATGAGCATGGACACCACCACAAAGGAGGTAAACATGGTCACCACAAGCATCACGATAAGGGAGAAAAAACCGATGGCTACCACAAGAAATATCACAAGGACCACTTCCACAAGGACCATCACTTCTACGATGACCATCATAATGAGGGCAAGCACCACAAGCACGGACATCATCACGGACACCACGAACATCACGGAGGAGACCACAAGAAGGGTGGACATCACGAGAAAGGTCATCATGAACATCATCATGGCAAGCACGGTCATCACGACAAGCATCATTACGATGAGGACCATCACGGGCACAAGGGCCACCACGGTCATGAGGAACATCATCATCATCATCATGATCATGGCAAGAAGGGCGGCCACCATGACCACAAGGACTGGGGCTTCCACCACGGAAAGCACTGATTTATGCCAATATGCTGTGATAGTTCATTGAATATTATGTTTTAGTTATAAGTTAGCAATGCCTATGTTTTCGATATTCTTAGTTTCTACTTTCACTGTGACTTACGAAACTGCAACTTCACTGTTCAATTTTAGTTTCTACGATCTTTTTTTCAAACTGTTTATTCTCTCTCGACTGTTCATTTCACGGTCGCATTCGCGGCGACCTTTATTCAGTCTACTGATCGGAGCATAGGCAAAATGTTATTTTTATACGCAATAATCGATTTTTTACGGGTTTTGTTATGTTTTTCTTTATATTAATTTATAAGGACGTTTAATAAAATGATTTGTTAAAAAAACTGTATTTTTAATAACCTAAAATTTACAATAATCTTTGTTTCGATGAAGGTGTTATAATAGAGTTTAAGTAAAACAACTCATATGCCTAAGAATAAACCAAGGTTACTACTTTCTTGTAATAAATCAAACTTTTCAAACTCCCTTTCTAGTACGGAAAAAGCGTTAAAATATGTTAATTAGGTTATAGACATTAATCTTAAAGATAATTGTACAAGTATTTCAATAATTGACACAATGCTCATATATTTTTTGTTTAAAGAAATTTAGCGGTATTAAACTTCGCAACCGAGCTAGCCAACGCCACCCTAAATATCAGTGTCATGGTAAATTAACTCTAAGCACATAATTTGCGACGCTTTTAGATCCTTTGATAAATAGCCTAACCCAAAACCCTTGTTCTTTTACACTTCTTCCATAATTAGTTTTTATGACAATAAATTATCCAATATATATAAGTGTAGTGTAACTTACCGAAACATGTCACAATTTTTAATTTCAGTTTTAACAAAACAACTGAATTCTGGGAATATAAATAAAACAAGGTAGGAAATGCTTATGTTTCTCATCGTGTTTTTTGTATCCTTTTCTCCAAAAATAATCGGAGAATAATATTATGTTTTAAGAAAACAGAACTTTAACTTTAAAAATTGAACATTACTTTTAAATTTTAGAACTTCCACGGAGTATCATCTTTTTATCAATCAGAGTTGATAAAGTAAATAAAAAGTAAATTCACTTCAATTAAATTCGATAGGAATTTTATTTACATCTCAAGCAAATTTTCTAACGCTGACAATTCTTAGAAAATTGGTTAAGCTTAATACAATCCTCGTAGGATCGGAAGTCAATAGAGGAAGACGCAAAAACCCCTCTAAAGAGTACGTCGGAGACTACAAAATGTGCATACAGCTTACAGTTTTATAACTAAACCAATTTGTATTCGGAATCCCTAAGCTACGGATCCGAGACGCATACAACTATAATACAGTTATCTTCCTATACGTAACAATACAAGTTCTTGCATTAATGACAATAAATTTGAACCACATACATACATTGATATTAAAACCTACTCTACTACAAACTACTTTTATTTAGTCAAAATTTCATAGCACTGTTTAGAATAATGATCAACATATAGAGACAACATAACATAGACTACAATATTCATCTTATAAAATAACAAAAAAATTGGCTAATTATTATCACTGAAAATGCTGGCATTTGATTTTTAAGGCAAGCTATTCATATGTTTTGTTACCGATAAATTAGCGATTGATCACAAAAATGAGGAATAAATTAAAAAAAAAATCATATTCAAATGAAAGGGGTTAAATACGATGACCGCAATAGAACGAATGAAGCAAGGGTCGTTTGAACTAACACTAGCGGAGTAGAAACACCAATACGAACAAATATCAGGGAACTAGTTAACGATAGTGCTGTTCCGGACAGTTACCTTTATCGCTTCCGCAGAGACTCGCAAGCCTAATGTTTATTAGCACTGAAACAATTATTTCACGATTTTATACGAACTAGGGTAAATTAGTTAAGGCTTTAGTAATTACTGTAGTATTATTTGGTGAATAGGATATTCTGAAGTCAGGATTAATTTTGACAAACTTGAGCAACGCTTCAACTCTCTTGCATTATTTGAGTACAATTTTTTATAGACTACAGTTCTTTGTAGTTCTGACTTGGTCTTTTTTTATCTTAAGGTGGCAAACGAGCGAGGGGCCACCTGAAATCGCTGAAATAGCGAAGTGACCGTTGCCCATAAACAAACGCTATTGCATATGCGTTGCCTACCTTTAATCGACGTAAGAGAAGATGTACAGAAAGAAGATATTTTCCCTTCCCATGCATCCTCTCATCCGGAAAGTCCACTACCACTAATCATGATTTCCTTATAGTAAAAATGGGACTAAATTAGGCTTCCGGGACGCACACTCATCAGACGAAAGGCGGAATTGCTTCCACTTCGATCCTGTATTCTGTGTTGTCGTGATATTTCACCGGGCGAGCCGGGCCAATTCGTGCGAAGATGTTAAAACGGGCTCTACCACTGTTAAAACTGGTCTAGCAACATGGTTAGGTTTAAAACTTCAATCCTCTTTCTATGCAAATTCTGATTACAATGTAATATTGTAAACACTCAACGATTCTCAAGGACGAAACATACTACCAGTTTAATGAAAATCTTGAGCAATAAATCAAACGAAATTTCTCTTTGACAAATGAGTAAGACGCCAGTGTCGAGATCAAATGATAAAGCGGATAGATATTAAAATGACGTTCAAATGAAGCAAAGTAAGTGTCCTCGTCAAACGGATATGCCGCGCGAGCTCTCGACGTTACTACGTGAGCGTTCCTCGACGAATGAGAACCTCGGATTAGATCTGGTGCAATTTACAAACTCACAATTTTTTAACCACTGACATGAGAGTAAGGGTGCGGGTTTCTTAGCATGGGTTAATTCGCAATTACTTTGTGACCTCCTATAGTTTAAACGATAGAACCGATTTTAATGAGTGAGGTGTCATTGGAATCGTATTTTTCCTGAGAGTGCTTACTACTTTTTAGGTAACTGATTTAATTGAAATTTACAATACTGAGATAAGGTTTATGGTCCCCAAAAAAGCTAATGACGACTAAGTTTATAAATTTACTTTTAAATCGAACTCGATGTAATTTTAAGTTAGAGAACGCGTTTTAAAGAGTCATTTAATTATTTTGCTAAATAACTAAATTCAACCAACCAATACTCTTATAAGGTATGTACTTTAAACGCTTTCTTTTACAACTTAGACGCAGTCATCATCTTTAAAATACTTCCAACCCTTGAGTTGAGTGCGTTCCCAGAGACTACTTCTTTCTTCACGTGGCTTAAATTACGACGTTAAGTTTATGAGCGACTGTGCAGTAATTTTGATACTTCACAATTGAAGTTATAAACTTTATAAATAGATACTTTAAAAGCATTTTTATTATAAAACATTGTTATTGTTCTAATTTAAAAAGTATATCATGGCTGTTAGTACCATGTGGCTTTTAGATTCTAATCTATCAGATCATTAAATGCTGAATTAAATACAATGTCAAAGTTAATTGGAATATTTATAATAAAAAATTGTCATAATAAGTAATAGTTGGTATTATAAAATTTTAGTTATGTCTAGCTGTCGCCCGTGGCTCCGTTCGCGCGGAATGAAAAAAACACATAAGTAGTCAATAAATTTCAAATTTACTCTACATTTTGTTTGGAAAATTTTATATGGAGAAGAGAAAAAGGCTGTTTTAGGGCTTTCCCGGCAATTATTCGAATTTTTCTCACCTTTTAAACCTTCTAGACCTCCACAAACATTTCAAGACGCGAAACTAACGAACAGCTTTGATTCTTATATACACATATAGATAAGATAAGATGGTTGGGACCAATTTTTTTTTATTTTATTCAAACAAGAAAAAAACAATGATCCATTCTTACTTGAATATTTAACACTTAAGATACTTGTTGCAAGTACCAGATTGTTTACTTTTAAAGTGAACCTTTATCCTTCTAATGCTTTCCGGATAACTTGAGTAACAAACTTAGATGGCGCCACGTCCGCCAAGATTTATGAGGCAGCCAGACACTTTAGGGGAGCCGAGTGGGATAATATTTTATGCACATGAGACTGCCACTCTCTGATACATATAATAAGTATTTTGTTTTCATACGATAAAATGAAAATTATAATATTTTGAAAACATATTTATATAAAACTAGCTAAACTTATATCAAGGCTGTTGTAAGGTTTTAAGTATGAAGTATATTTGAAATATTCCAGTAAATAAAAAGTTTCATTGATTTTATTAATCTATGAATAATATGTAGTATATAATAACATTTTCTTTTTTTAATATCACAAGGTAACAAAACGAGCGAGCGGCCACCTGAAATCGCTGAAATAGCGAAGTGACCGTTGCCCATAGACATACACAATTGCATATGCGTTGCCTACCTTTAATCGACGGAGGAGAGGATGCACAGAAATAAAATATTTTCCCCTTCCATGCATCCTCTCATCCGGAAAGTTCACTTTTACTTACTTACCCATCCTTTCCTTATAAGAAATAGGATGGGAAGGGAAAGAGGACTAAATTAGGCCTCCGGGACGCACACTCTTATCTTACTAATATTATAAATGCGAAAGTTTATACGGATGGATCTGTAATTTGGCATAGATGTAGAAAATAGCTTGAAATAACATATAGGCTACTAAATATTTTTTTTAACTACGCGAAGACAGAGTCATAGGTGTTTGCCATTATTTTAGAAAAATAGAAAAACGAAAATTAAAAACATAACGTGAAAAAAAAACCAATTGATATTGTAGGTGCGATTGCGTTGATACGTGACGTCAGCGATAACCGATGGATCGTACGCTGTGCACACATGCGATGAGCTTGATCCTATTGTGCACACATCTTTATCAACACGATATGTTCAATGTATTTATTTTTTCATATTTACCAATAGAGATCCGTGCCGGCTTAGCATGGCTCGCAAATAATACATCTTTGATATTCTTCTATATTTTGTTAGTAGCATGCTAATATTCAATCTCTTGTAGTTTCCTCTTTAGAGTTTAAATTAAGAAATTTAGATATTACTAGTTGTATTTATAGACAGCTGGAAAACAGGATACAGGCTACAATTATTTTTTCGTTATTAAATAATCTGAAGAATTACCTAAAAATTCTCTCCTTTCTTTACTTAAATATATAAAAAAAGGAAACTCATCATAATTTTCAAAAATATGTCCCAAAAGACAAAGTAAACAAACAAGATAAAGACATCACTCCTTTGTCATTTAATTAAAAAGTAACATGACTACTTCATATTCTTTAATAAATTATACAAATAAATGAATAAACGAAGTGAACAAACTCTGCTAAAAATGTGTGGTACAAGTGACAAGAAATATAAAATATTTAATTTTAATAATCAAAGATTTATTACTTAATAACGTATTTTATTTTGCTTCCTATGTAACAGACATTACTACTGGAACTAGTATCTCATTGTTATTATATCTAATTTAAAAGTAGTACTTTCCGCTAGCGGATTTAATTATTTTTTTTAATTTAGAAAAAATAAAATGTTATCCTGTGCAATGACCAGCTTGATACTTTATCATCTATTTAACTGTGTGAACTGACACATATTGTTATCTCTTTTATTCTCTTTGCAAAAGACAAAGACAACAATATTTTTTAATACAGGTGTCACAACAGAATAAATCCCAATAATTTTTGTTACAAGTTCAAGCTAATGACATTCTCTTTTGACATGTACCAAATCCATACTCACCTCTCGAGTAGCAGGACGGCCGTAAAGCGATGTCGATCATAAAAATATTTGATTAGGCGTCGCTCCTTACAGCGCCACTTCGCCGACTTGAAACTTTTATGATGCGCACGCGTCGGTGTGAATTATTTAATCTAATGAAAGCATAATTTTCAAAGGGTATTTCGAGGGACATAGTATATTTTTACGATTCACAATTGGTATCACCTCGTATAAAATTCAAAGTATCTTCCCCTTAATCTCTTCCACAACTCGCACACAGTATAATCTGAAGTAAGTAAATGTGATGCATGATGTATAATATAACAATCGGGATTTTACGCTAACTTATAGAAAACTAAATAAATAATCTTAAGAAGAAAATGTCGTTTACATGAACATATTGGTACATATCAACAAAATCTCTGACCAACGCAAAAGTAGTGTGTGGTGTCGACATGAAATATATCATCTATTTGTTATCTACAGACATTTTCGACGAGTGAAATATATCAGGAAACTACGGATGCTATATGCGAGGAAAAAACGCATATTTGCCAAAACTGTCGTCAGTACTAAATTACAAGAAATTCGTTAAATGAAAATTATGTTGGACTAAACAGCTTAGCTTATTACACAGAAAATTATTCTAATTAAACTTGCATCACAATAATTTAACATTCACGCAAAAAAAATATAGACAAATTCGTTAAAATATTTGGTTCTTGTTTTTCACCCCTCTTATAATCGGTCCCTCGTTCCCTTTTGCGTTTTGTGATTGCGACACGGAATAAGGGAGCGGATAAACAAATTACTGTGCGGCCATACTCGGCATGACTTGGTCGATATCGTACCGTCTGTAAGATTCGATTATCCATACACTAAAGATATCTCGGAAAATTTCCCCGCTTAGAAACCCCCGTTTGTCGTTCGTTGTTTCTTACCCCCAGTGTTTTGTTTCCCTTGTCGATAATATTTTTTAAAAGAGAAACTTTTAGTTTAGTATTTATTTTTTTGGACCCTACGAGAAAGTGAGAAAAAGAAGATAGACAAGCTCGAGATGTGGTGCTGGAGAAGAATGCTGAAAATACCTTGGACCGCATCCCGGACAAACAAGTCAATACTCGAAGAACTCGGCATCAAGCAGCGTCTGTCATGCATTGTTCGGGTTCGCATACTCACTTTTTTTGGTCACGTCTGTAGACGTGATGACGAATCCATCGAGCGCTTGGTCGTGCAGGGGAAAGTTGAGGGCAACAGACCACGAGGAAGATTGCCTATGAGGTGGACCGACCAAATGAGAGCGGCTATGCATGTCCCCCTGCACCAATGTACAAAAAAGGCAGCGACTAGGGAGGAGTGGCGGCGCCTGGTAAAGCGGGTCACTGATACGTGATGACCACGACCAGTCTGACAAGACTGAAACGACGAAGAAGAAGATTTTTTTTTTATTAAAAGTTGTGATGGAATATTTTGGTATTTTCCAAGTAATTTAGAGATCATGTGGTTCTTATTTATAGTTTATATTTTCTTTGATTATTTTCGCTATACTTTACTTTATTCAATGCATTACTGTATTCATGCAATGATCATTGATTTCTTATCTCGACTCAGAAATAAAATTTATTCTTAGAATTATCGATCAGCTATTTGCCCTGATAATAACTTTGCTGATAGCAATTGTGTCCTATCACGTGCTAAGTCTCTTGATGACCGATTATAATTATTGTATCACTGTTGTATTTTATATCTACATATGTTATGAAAGCAATTATTAATCAATAAAAACTGTAAAAAAAGTGTTTGCTATGATATCACCTTGAACCATTATTCACACTTTCATTCCACAAGTTTTAAAAACTTTTTTTTTTAATTTTGTTATAAAATTAGTAGATTTTAAAATTATCCAGTGATAATGAAATAATAAATCATTGAAACTTAAATATAAATAGATTTATTAAAAATAATCATACAAATTTAAATAGAGCCTCATTTAAATTGAGCACGTTTTATTTTATAAAAATATAGAGTTATTTACGAGCTTACAAATTAATAAAATATAACATCAGCTGATTAATATGTTTATAACATAAACACTTTGTACATCATTACCATAAAAAATATTGTGTTATATAATAAATATACTGATTTCAAATAAATAAGTAGACCCAAAAATATTAATAATTTCACCAAGTTCTTTTCACAAACAGTGTACAATGCGTCTTTGTTTCCTTCAAAGCTTCTACCAACCCCAGAAACGATACTATGAATGTTATGTTGTAAATAACACAAGTTAAGATTTTAAAAGCGTGAACTTGAGCCAAACATCATCTTTAATGATTTTCATGAAATTATGATCTACAAAGGTTAGTTGTGCTGGTGTTCTTTCTGTTGTCTCAATTTTATATTTCTCAAGAACAGCTTTCGTCACTTTTCTTATAATCTCCATAGCTAATTGTTCACCTGTAAACGAACACATTGTCATCAAATATTATTTTATTTTAAACATACATAAAAACGTCTAAACACTCACGTATATTCGTCCCTTCATTAGGGTGAGTGGGACTGGTATTAGTGTGACTGGCCGCCTCCGCGAAATAATACCAGTCCCACTTACCCTGATGAAGGGCCCCCGATGGGCTCGAAACTACTCGGTGCCGCCACCGTACGAATATACGTGAGTGTTTAGCCGTTTTTATATTAGTTTATTATAATGTCTCACGAAAGTTTGAATATTTTATTTTATCTATCTTATCACGCACAAATTGTACTGTTGATTATGGATATAAAGCAATGTAATATTTATTTAAACAATAAGTACAATCACGTTGACCTTTGTTGAACTTTGTTCACTTTTTAGCTTGATTAGTGCTAACATTGACACACTGCAATTTACATTCCTATTTATGTTTTTATTAGCACAATCTATTTGGTCAAGTCTTACGGTACACTTGAATGTAACAGTTGAAAGACTCGATGATTCCAATAAATGATACCACCATAAAAAGTACCGTTTCAATATGAATATACTACAAAGTTTAATTAATTTTTTTACCAGGTAACCAAATTTTTTACGACCTAAATCCAACTCAAACGTTTAATAATGAAAATATTAAGAATCTAACCGCATTAATACCCCCGTATTTTAATTGCTATATGCCGACTTCGTTTTATAAAAATCTAAAAACCTAATATATACGGCAACTTACCAATACATTTGCGAGGTCCAGCACCAAAAGGTAAGTACACGAATGTATGCCTCATTTCATTTTCACTTTCCAAGAACCGGTCCGGGTTAAAAGCACAAGGGTTCTTATAATGCTTCAAGTCTTTATGAATTGCTTCTACCGGTACCGTTACAGTGATTTTCTTATCCAACATCATTTTACTGTCTGCAATTTCGTAGGCTTTGACACACTTTCTGGTTATAACTGAGTATGGACAGTACAAACGTAAAGCTTCTTTAATACAAGCATCTAAATAATCGACGCTAAATGAATTATTTGTTCTGATTTTTTCTTGGATTTCTGGGCTCTTTGCTAATTCAAACAACAAGGAAGTTATAACATTAAGACATGGTATGTAACCTTCAGTTATGAATAGACTAAGGATTGAATATGCCAATTCCAATTCTGTTACGTTTTCTGACTTAGTTGCTTTCCTGTTTTTCGTATTAATTTGATCTGTAAGTCCTGTTTGTTGAATCTTTGTCAATAATTTTGATTCTTTCAAGACATTATTGGATTTCGTGGTCATTAATCCTGAAACGGTGGTTAATCCAAACAAAGTATATACAGAAGGAAATATTTCTTTCAAATAACTTTTGAATTTCTCCGAATAAGTGCGACGCTGTATAGACTGACGTAAATCTTTAAGTACAAGTCCGTCGTCCTTTCCCTCAAAGAGGCAATCCTTAAACACGGCGTCCAATATTTCTGACAACAGCTCTCGAACATTCACAACTTCATTGGTTCCTGACAAACAGACATGTAAACTGACATCAGGTTCACGGTGCATTCCGTTCAATAAACACTCCAATCCCTCTCGGAGTAAGGTCCATTTTTCACCTTCGGCATAGAATAGATTGTTTCTTAAGCAAACATCCCGAGATCTGTCGAGACCGATGCCTCTGCAATGGAAATTCGCGAAATCCGTCGACAGCATTTTCTTGATGACATCCGGGTTTTTCACAATCAACTCGGGTATTCGACTCTTGATGACACCTACGAAATTCGCCTCCGGATACTTAGAGTAAAGGTTTCTTACTTCCTCAGACGTTGATCGAAGTTTCAATACCCGGTGATAATCACTTCCGAAGAAAGGAATCGGTATCTTGTAAGGTACATGGCGGATGTACCAGTAGCTAAAGAATTTAGTAACATAGTCGAATATAAGGGCGACTATTAGAGCTGCCAAAATAGCTAAGTTCAATAGAAAGCTTTCGAAGAACATTGCCGCGTTCGAACTGTACGATAATGCGTCGGATACTGAGAGGTGATTCGATCTTACCTCAGTACTGGGTCAAAGTAACGGTTTAAAATTGTACGCAGATTGGAGACGCTTTTGTACAACCGCGAAAACTATACTTATGGCTAGGACTTGCAACTTTAAGTTTTATGTGCATGCAATATTGCATAAAATTACATGAATAATGTTTTACGATGTAGCAATGTATTTATTGCTAACGTACAATGACATTTATTTTCTATAAAGATTCAAATAACTTGAAATGAAGTTGTGTCCCTATTAGAATGATGCTGTTATTTTCAAGTGTTAAGTTTATTTACTTTGTCTTGTTTTCACTTCTTGGTTCGTTAAGTTACTATGCATAAAGTTAGAAATTATAATAGTATAGATTGTTTGGTTCTTAAATATAACTCATAGGGTAATGCTATGATAAAAAAGTGCTAGCTAAAGCAAGGTTCCTGAAATTATAGTTTTCATTGCTCCTTTACAAAACAAAGAAAGTATGTAAATAATGTTTTAGGTTTCGTATTTATTAAATAAGATGTTATTATTAGAAAGTTGATACAACTATATTAATAAAAATAACTTAAAGGGTTGATAAAAATTCGTAGTAAAGCCATCTTATGGGATCTAAATGTACTTCGTAGATTCAAGGTAAAATTTATTAGGTTGCAATGTTTTGCTGACAGATGGCGTGGTAAATAAATGAGTTCGTTTGGAACCGTAGCTATAGTGCCACGCTTGATACATAGATGGCGAAAGAAGAAAAAAATAATCACAATACCGGTATCCTGTAAATTGTATTCTGAATTAGTAGTATTTTTTGTCCTTACTGTACTGACAGTAAGGACCAAAACTTCTATATTAATTTCAAACTTAACAGCACGATATCGCATTTTACCAATCAAGTTAAATAAAATAATAGATATTTCGCGTTTACTTCTTTCTTGCATTTCGTAAGGACCAGTTATTTTTTACCCCAAAGATGACTGTTGTAATTAATGGAGAATTTAAATAACTTACTTGATCGTTAAATACAGTGTCATATTTATTTAACGGTAAACTTATAATTTCTTCTATTTGAAGCAAATTAAACTACATATCAGATTACATATTCTCAGATCAAAAGCTAAATTCCAAACAGGGAGATATCAAAGCACGTAAGTGGTCTTTACGCGTGTCGAAGTGGTCATTTGGCATCGATCAAGCCCGATGTCCTGTGCCTCTACTAGATGTTTATCGGACGCATTATAATGTCGCACAACCGGTGGTTACTCGAGACTCGGGGTTGCTGGGACATATTAATCTGACTGCAGCTCGAAGCTGCTACTTCGATTGTATTACTACTCGGTACATAAAATGAAGAATATCTCTAAAGACGATTATTTGACGTAAATTACCACGTTTTAATTTTAATACTCGTAATAAGTTTCAAAACTTTGTTTTGTTTAGGTTTGTTTGAAAATTTAACCTATTTACCCCATTTTAGGATACTGGACCTTAGTATTTTTACTTTAGGCAACTATCAAACATGCGATTCCTTTACTGAATATCCATACCATTGAGTTGATACTTGTTCTCATAAGTTAGAATTAAAACTAATGCATCAAAGTAATAAAATAGTGTACCGTGTTGCACTAACTTGTGTGTATATTAATCTGTAAGAAATGCAAGGCTCGCAAACGCTTGCGATCTGTAATCACGCGCAGTAGCACGCACCACGCACTGAATACTGCTGCCATCCGTCCCCTTGAGCTTGTTTGTGATATACACAACGTAATTGTTTCTCACTCATGTTGCATACATACCACCATAGTCGTCAGATTTTCATTTTTTAAAGCTTTAATTGTATTTGTAGCATAGCGAAATAATAACAATTGAATAATGCAAATAAAAGAAATACAATTTTCTCGCTGGCCAGAATTTTTAATGGAACTGACTAGTACGTTAATATCCTCCCTTTAAAGTTAGGCAATACAGAAGCGCACATTTATCATGGTTTATATTATTAGCTGTCGACCCCGACTCCGTCTTCGGAATAGCCAATGTGTTCTTACAGACTGTTATACATCTATGCCAAATTTCAACGAGACCCGTTCAGCTTCAATCGTTCTGGATATACCTTCTAACAAACATCCATCCATCCATATGTGTAAAGTTTAAAGAAAGGTTTTTCGCAGAGTTTTCGTTATTAATAGGTTTTTAATTTTATTTGTAATGAGAATGATTAACAGTATTGTGTTTAAATATTTGCTAGTTTGGAAATCTAAATTACTGCTCGATATACGAAAGATGTCTGTATTTATGGTATACGATACCTAACCGATGGCTGCACCGTACGTGACTTCGTAACCACAGATCTTGAGCTCCCGATAAAATGGAAGGTCGGTCATTATTCATACCTTTACGCATCCACAGATATGGCTTGTGACATCGTTAATTATTGTCCAATATTAATTGAACCGTCTTATCTATACTTTTACATGTTCTGTGTAATATTTCAATGCTCTTGTTTGTTTTACCAATACACTTTGTTTGAGGAGAACTTTATTCAGATAACCTTTTCGTAGTTTGTAATTTTCAAGTATTGGGTTTTAAAGGATCTTATTGTCATCAACAGTTAAGTTAATAAGTATAATTATGTTAAATGGTGCTATACTCCAGTATAATAAAGTTAAAACCACTATACATCTTCAGTTTAACTGCACAATTTTACTGAAGAGTCGAACTGTACAGTTAAAATTTAGGTGTATAGGCAACACTAACAACTGTGCAGTTTAACTTACAGTTCAAATTGCAACAAAGAGTAAAATGGTATTACTTATCTAGGCATCAAATTTTAATAAATAATTGAGCGTTATTAAAAATATCTTTACTTTATATTGGTAATATTTAAAATCGATTAAATAATTGCAGTTAATCGATGTTTTGTTCTTCAAAAATCACGACATGAGTATCTACTGACCTTTTCACGTTAGAAAAAAAACGAAGCGCATTCGTTACTACGATGTCCATTATCGATGTGTCTAATCGATATCAAGATCGATTCCATTCAACAAAAGATCGACATCGATGTCTAACTGTGATCGGGAAAGTGGCCTTTTCTGTTCCATTATTAATTTTAAATAAGCCGTGGAGTTTGATCACAAAGGGTGATCGTCGCACAGCACGTGGCTGTTTGAAAAAGTTGATTGCGGATTTTTTAAATATGATATCTCTATTTTGATGTTGCCGACAGATTATGACCATTACTTGTTTCTTTTGTATATAGAAGATAGTTTATTAAGCCGGGGAAAATGTGAAGTTTAGCTTTGTTCATTGCGATTTTTACCACATAATTAAAGCAACAACAAAGTACTTATATTGTCTTACTAGCTGTCGCCCGCGACTCCGTCCACACTGAATTAAAAAAAAATGAATTAGTAGCCATTGTGTTCTTCAGTATGTTCTACAGTATGCCAAATTTCAGCGAGATCCGTTCAGCAGATCTGGAGATCAATCAGATCAAACAAACATCCATCTATCGATCCATCTAAACATTCGCACTTGACTAGAGTAACTTATCACCAATAACGCTATACCTTTAGCTCACTAAAAATCATGATCAGCGTCACCTTGACCTTTTAACTAGAAAACTTGTATTTAAGAGGACAAGAATTTTTCTTCCATGAAACTACTCTATATTTCTACGTAGTTTTGCTACACACTTAACTATAATGTATGTATGAAAGCGTCAAGAAGACATGTTCAAATTATATTCCCTTATTGAGCTCTAATTTTCAACAATAAAAATATGTAAATATGGTACAAGGAACGCACCCTGGCGACACAATGGCGCATCACCCGAGGCGATCCTCGAGCATTACGCTAATGACCATGCCATTATGGTCTCTGGCCATATACTCTCGTTTATTAGGGATAATAACGCTAACGAGTTTTTTACTCATCGACATTGGTGCTTTTGGGACTGAAAAACTGCGATCATAATCATTGTTGTCAAATTACACGATACGTCTAGGATTCTGTTGTTTTTTGTCCTTACTATCGAATACATGGGCGTCGTTGATCCTAATTTGAAAGGATCAAATTAAATCGTTATAATGTCCTTTTGTAAATTTGAAGTTTTCGTCCAGTTCTTAAATGTAAAAGTTTAGATATAGTTATGGTTCTCGTAAATTATGTTTTAATTTACAAACGTTTATTTTTAATCAAGGCTTTAAAATTAAAAACAAAGAAATCTAAATTATACCATTTCCTATAGCAAAATAATTGAAAATTAAACGGACTTTGGGTACTAATAATCGCTTTCCGCAAATATTCCCGAGTTTCAGCGTAAATGTATTGCTTTACAAAGTTAAGGTATTGTATTGGAGCAGTGTACAAATTATGCTTTCTCTAAAAACAGATTCACGTCGATCGGTCATACGCATCGCTGCACCGATTATGAAATGACAAGTTACGTCAATCAAACACTATCGTCCGGGACATATCTTACCGGCGTCACATTCGGTCGTCTTATGTTAATTTAGTTTCACATTATACAGATTTGACGTTTGTTTCGATTCGAAGGGTTATTGATTTAATTAGTTTGCTTTACTGCTAACGATCAATAAAGGAATAATTATATGTTATCGAATACAAAAGAGTTATTTGGAACTGCGTGCTTAAATAAAGTTATCAATGAACTTTATGAGTTTATACCGGACAAGGAATTGCCCAATTTAAGTGTTCACGGATCTCCATTAATATTAATGCTAATAAAAGTCAGATAAATTAATGTTAATATTAAAAGTAAATCCACTTAAGGATAGGCTCCACCTCATTGGTGATGACATATTAAGAAGTAAAGATTTTTGAAGCAAAGAGTTCCCACAAATTTTAAAAGAACTTATAATGGTCAATATATTTAATTGCTCATGTAATTAGCAACAATTGAATTTAAATATTTACTAATTTGTTTATGTTCTCTAACATCAAAGTTGTCTTGACTCTAACCTACCGCGGCCTGAATAGAAATTAATTGAAAGTTGAACGGGAACAA